TCCTTGGTGACTCTGACATCTGATGCTCAACTCAAAGCAAGGGCAGTTCAGAGAGTAATAGGGAGTCCAGAGTCTGTATGCATGTACACGCTCAGAGAGGGGAGACAGCAGGTATTTCTCCCAGGTTGATTTCCACAGAAAGGAAAGGGGAACACGAGCAGTAGCTTGATGGGAGAGAAGGGTGCCTGGTCACATTTCCAGGAAGAATCCACCATGGATGCTCTCTTTAGTGAGACAACAGTTAGGGATACTAAGAGAGCATAACCTTGCTGTATCAAATAGAACCTCAAGGTAATGAACTTGAGACTCAATTTTCTTGTGTATGTGTGTGTCCTTGTGTGTGGGTACACAGGCAAACAAGTATATATATATGTGTTGTTTTTAGTAATGCCACCCACCTACTTTGAGAGGGGTCTGTTTGGAGCTCACCAAGTAGGGTAAGCTGTTTGGCCAGTGAGTCTGGAGATCCTCCCATCTCCATTTCTCCAGCTCTGGGTGGACAAGTGAAAGCCATAATGCCTAACACTTTTTCATGGTTTCTGGGATTAAATCAAGGTGCTCATTCTTGCCAGGCAAGCACTACTAACTGAGCCAACTCCCCAGGCACTGCAGTCCAGTTTTGTCAAGCATTTGTTAATGTATTAACTGCCAGGGATGCAGCAAATACATTCACGTTGGAGTCTTATTCCCTTTGAATTCTAATTGCTTAAGAAAGTCTCGAAGCTGGGGAGCAGTAGTGTTCTAAGCAAGCAAGAAGCAATTGTTTCATCATGGCAGGTTGCAAATGGTGGGACTCCTTACTATCTCTTTGTGAGGCAAAATGGAAATATTAGATCCCTCACCTTGGTTGGCAGAGTATAATCTATCTAATATGGATGTTAGAGTTATCATTGTTATAGAGTTATCCTGGGTTTGTTTCATGTATCTGTTACTTTTCTGTTGTAATATATTCTGACAAAAGTGACTGAAGGAAGAAAGAGTTCATTTTTGCTTAGGGTTCCAGAGGGATAGAGTCCATCTTGGTGGGGAAGGCATGACATTTTCATTCACACACAGGAAGCAGAAAGAGAGAGGAGACAGGGAGAGGGAGAGAGGGGGGGGGGAAGAGAGAGAGAGAGAAGTGAGGAGAGGCTGCAAGCTTCAGCCCCTCACCCAGTTATTTAACTCCTCCAGCAAGATTCTACCTAAGGTTTCTGTAACCTCTCCAATAAACACCTCCAGTGGGGGACCAAGCCAGTAGGGGATGTTTCTCATTCAAACCACCATATTCCACCCCAGGTCCCCATAGGCTCACGGTCATTGCCATATCATCATATCATACTGCAAAATACATTTCATCTAACTTCAAAAGTTCCCATAGTTTTTAACAGTCTCAATACTATTCAAAAGTTCAAAGTCTCTTCTAAGACTGAAGGTAATTTCTTAACCATGACCCTCCCAGTTAAACAGGACAATTTACATACTCCCAGCATACAATAGCATATTAACATTCAACATTAACATTCAAAAAAAAGAGGAATGGAAGCATAGTGAGGAAAGAGTAGAGCACGGGATGGTGGGCAAACACTGAATCCTGCAGTTCCATGTTCAGCATCTGTGGCTTTGATTTCGAAGGCTTAGGTGGTTCTCTCCCCCAGGTTTTGCTGCCTGAGATACAAACATCGACCTCGGACTGCTCCCACTCCCCGTATGCAACTCTCCTTGGTAGAGGATGTCTCAGGATTCTGGCATCTCCAAAAATTTGAGGTCTCTACCACAAGTATAACAGCTTTGTTCAATGGCTTCTCGGGGTATCTTTGAAAGAACTGTGACCCTGTCACACGTTTCTTGGCTCTAGCAGCTTCCTGAAACTACAGAGGAAGAATCCAGAACTCCCTCAATCGTACATTTTTCTTGTCTCCAAAACTAGTACCTCATGGATAACGCTGCTAAGTTTGGCTGCCAGCATGGGCTGTACCTGGGCCTTGTAGACCACAGTTGCACCAACACTGGGATACTGAAGCAACTGCTTTCTACGAATAAGCAACCCCCTAGCTCTCTTTCATAAGGTGGAGGCTTAGCCAAGTGTTGTTTTTCCTGGAAGGTACTTTCCTGTCTTCCCAATGAAGAGCAGAAGGCTTCCCTTTAATTGTGCTAGTCTCCTTAAGAACCACAGCC